ACGACATCATGAGTCGGAAGTATCAGTATTAATAACTAAGATTGAATTTTCTAGTATGGATACTTAAATTTGTCGCGATTTTATAACCAAATTTCAAATAAACACTTAGCTTGTACATTTCTTGTTGATTTGTACATGTTATAAAAATATATGTAACATCCTGAAAAAAATCTGATACCTAGTTTATAGGAGATGCTAATGAAAACTGTTTAATAGCCATTCTTATATTTTACTGATAAAATCTAGTAGGTTCAAGAAATCCCAAGATATAAGAGAAAAATGAAACATTTCAATCACCGTAGTGTACTTTACAACAGACATAAAAAATATTCTATCTGACAGAAAGAGTATACAAAGTTACCATTGCAACCAAATTATTCTATTTTTTTCACAGTTGAAATAAATAGAACGAAACGGCCGTCCAGTGCTTCCAGGTTTTCGATGGTGGTTTAGCTTAAATTGACTCATGATTTCAACTGTGAAATTACTAAATTCTCCACAAAACCCCCTCTGATCTATTCTATTTTTCCCTAAATAATTTTAGTTATTGGCAAAATAAACATTACCAACATTTCTGTTTAGCATGGTGTGAAATACATTTCACCTTAAAGATTGTATGTTAGGATTAAGTTGTTCTGTGGTCTTAAATTTCGATGGATGTATATTGATGATATCCAGAAAATTGTTTACTAAAAAACTACTCATTTCATTGTCATTTTCATGCGTAAACAAATTGTAAAATTTTATCAGGATTCAAGATCAATTCTTCCAACATACAAACAGACAACGAAAGTTAAAGTTAATTCTATATCAGAATCATCTAATAATGATGAACCTTCAATTCAAAAAATAAGTCGTAAACGGTTTAGGTGGGATCCAGAGGATAAAATTACAATGGACACAGATTTGAGTCAGAGTTCAACGTTCACGCTTACACCTGTATTAGATGGATGCAGTTATACAAAAGAAACACCAACAATGCCTTATTTATTATTAAAAGATAATACACCTGATTTATTCTCCATACAAAGATCATTTATAAACAACGATTTCCTTTGTGAGTCATGCCCACCTATATGTGATGGATCTTCGAAATTAGGATACTTATATGGGAATTCATTAAACTTAGAATCAATACAAAGTCAAAATTCATCATTGTATTCGAATATCAAACAGGAAACTGAATCAAGACCTGATTGTCCGATCGAATCTGACTGCCTAAATAATAACTATAACATGAATCAGATCAGAGATGAGGAATCAGTTAAACACGAAGACGATCAAATTTCAACACCGCAATGCAGATGTGATTGTACGATATTTACACCGAAAGCAAATCTCAACGAACATAATACAGTTTCATCAAATGATCTATCAAAATCTAATTTTCCACTTAAACCGTATACGGTAGATATTGTGAATTTTACTCCTCGTCGAGAAGAAAATTCTACTACTGTTATGACAGAAATAGAATCGAATTTTGATAATACTGGAAATTCAACTCTTGAAATTTTGGGAGTAAATGAAAAAAGCTTCATTAAACCTAAAGATTTTACAGTTTTAAAATCAGTTCAAAATAATCAATGTAGAAAGATGAATGAATGTACTCCACAATTACAAAAGAAAATAACTTGGTCAAAAGATATCACTGTCAACAATGAGATTCGTAAAAAACAGAAAAACCAGTGGAAGAATGAAAATGATCAATTACTATACGAATCAGAAAAATCATTTTCAGTTGATTATCAACTAATCAATGACGGGTGGTGTGAATTAGCATGTTTAATCAAATTTTCTGAATTAGGTCTACTTCACGGTACGTTTGAGTATTTTCTAGGTGCATGCTTTGTTATTGAATTTTGAGTGAAACTGTTTTCAGTAGTCATCTATTAAAAACTAGAGTATGGACTAGGATACAACATTATCAACTTTAGTTTAATCAGTGAGGTGAGACTCCTAGCATACACATTTTACAGTTCAAAGTCGAGTATATCTCTGGTAACATTGTTAATCAGTTTTACTTATTCTAAATAAAGCTTAAAAACACTTTAAAAGCAAAATTAAGTTTTTTAGATGATTTTATAGTTTCAGTCATACAGTATTTCTAGACCATACTTTGGGACTAACGATATGTATTTAACTGTTAATTCTTTGTGAATAGATAATTCGGTAAAAGAAAACTAGTTTCGTTCCAGGATATCTTGGAATTATTTTATCATACAATACTTTACCGTTATCCCGAAAAATCCCAGACTTCGAAGTTGAAGTGAAGGAATATTGATTGATCGCTGACATCGGTTTTACAGGAATATAAGACAGCACAATCATTGAAATAGTTAAATATGCAACAAAAGATACACAACTTTTGAATACGAAAGTCTAACTTTCTAATTACAATGTTATAAGAGAAAGAGTATTAGGAGAAACTGGTCGATTCAGTAAAGTGAAGGAAAACAGAGACAGAAGGACTGGTTTGTATCATTCGTCAAAGGTCAAGTAAACATTTAAATATGGACGACTAACCTAGGGTGATTACAGAAAATATATAGTATTTCCTATCAAATCTAAAAGTTTACTCGATTTTTTTTATCAATAGAACAAATAAAACCTAACTCCATATCCGCAGGGACAGAAACTCCTCAACCTTCTTGCTCCAAAAGGCAACTGGAATATGAGAAACATAAAGAGGAAAAGTGCATGTACAATGCAAACATAACAAACAGTGCAGTAAGTTTTATTTTCACTCTTGCTTACAAGTGCATAGTAAAATAGGTTAGTTTGTCATTACTACGATTACCGAAAACTCCAAGTGTAGAATATAAGTTACGTAGTAGTTTATAAAATGAACTTTTTATTTCGCTCAGTGATGCAGTGGGTTTATAACAAAGGTTATTTGAATGATAAAAGATAGTTAACCGAGTTATAATTTCTATATGAACCGAATAAGTTGCCTACAATTATGTTATGCATGCACTCAAATGGGACGCGGTCTGGTTTAAGGTTAGGTAAAAAAACGATGTCTTCAATCGTAAACATGGTCCTTAAGACCTGGTTTGCATTGTACAAGTGAGCATAGACCTCATTACATTTCTTGAAAAATAAATACTGATGGTTCTAATATTTAGAAGATTGAGCTGGTCACTAACATGGGTTCAAAATCACTTACTCTTTACTTACATTTTAAGAACTATCTTTTAATATAATGGGAATTTTTAGCGATTTTAAGAATCACACAAGTTCATATCTTGAGTGGATTCAGTATTGTGCTAATTTCTATATTATTCCCCTTTTCATATATAAATGTTCTAAGAGCCGTCAGTTTATCAGTTCAACAAGTGACAGACAAGAAAACGAACTTCGATCTGACAGAACTGGTATTTCGAGTTTCGTTTACCAAGTGTTTTCTACAGACGGTGATCTTTTTAGAATAATGCATCACATCTTGGGAAATAAAGAACTGCATGACATTTCATGATTATCTAAATGCATTGAATTTTGATACGATTGATCATCGGGCGTGGACAAACAGGCACTTGGCATACTGACTATTAAATAAGTGATTTCCTTCCCTCCCATTGATTTCTAATCCCCGCTCATTGAGTGTGACTGCTTGTAACTGTGTTAAATACAGGATAACCTAGAGTTAATCTGGTTCTCTATTCAGAGTCGTGAGTCCTGGATCTGGTATAACGTGACTCATTGTATTATCGTGGCATACCTGAGAGAAATATATTTCAAACTATCCATTTTATTAGATTAACTTCTGTTGTGGTGACCAAATATATAGTTCGATGCAAACGTTATAAATGGTTTTTGGTGAAGGATTATTTGTTGAGTTTTATTGACTAGTGATAAGTCTTGTCGATTGAACGCTATATTCGTTTTCCTAAGCTATTCTGGTAACCCACAGGCTAGAACTACTCAGCGTCTTGAACACCAGAGAGAAGACGCAAGTATGAGAGAAAAATACATTACTCCAAGGTTCGTTCTTCAGAAAATCATGGGTATTTATAGATGTTAGCGTCTGTTAAATCGACATCATATTTCAGCCAATCCGTTAACGACATATGCTACCGACCAATAGTAGCACGCCACGTTGGAATTCTAGAATGTTCCATCATATTCTGATTGGCTAGAGCTCTTCGGCTCCTTTTGGGCCTCTGGAGGCTCCGTTGAAGTTCTCCGGAAGCCGACTCAACAACTAGCAAAAAATATGAATCGTATAAAATCATATTTATTTAATAAACAATACCGTGTCAATGTATCCTACCTGATCTGGGTCGGTACGATTGTCGTAAACAATGGTTGGCGATGTTGAGTGAAATGGCTCGGAATCTGTCGTAATGGCACAGATGCATTTATTCTGTCTTTCCTAAGATCCTTATCTTAAGAACTATCTTATACCTTTTTATTCCACAAACTCACTTGTTTCAAGTAAGAGCGCCTATTTCTAATCTTTTCTATTGCTAATCATACTATTTCTATTATTCTGGGATTTATCTTGTTAATTTCATCATGCCGTGTTAACGTGGTATAACAAATTGAAACGAAACAGGTAAGGTTCAGGTTCAACGTTTCACATGACTAACTTGTGATAAAGAGTTTAAGTGAACATAACCAAACCTCTGATCCCGCTATAGGTTTAAATCATAAGAATGTCCTTAACATTCTCAAAATTCTTTGCATTAAATCTAAGCAAGCAAATATCAATTATCCCATGATAAAACTTGTACTTCCAATAAAACAACTAATTACAGTTTTATCTGACTGATATATGTAAACCTAAGTGCTCGACATATTTTAAAAAAAATCTCAACACACCTATGAATAGAATAATCGAGGAATATTGCCATAAAAAAATTCTTTATCAGTTGTTACACATTGGTTATGTATTTCTTTTCTTTAATCGACAGCCAACTACATTAGCTCTTAAACGAACTGGAATTGGAATGTTGGATTTATCTCTAACTGCTGATTCATACATTAAAGAAGAGTAATTTATATAAGACAATCATCAAAATTATTATTATTATTATCATTCATGTACATAGATTGTTACAATAAAATTATTACATAATGATAAGAAATACTGTAATGTTTAGCATATTGGTTGAACCATTTTGTAAACAAAAGTTTTCTGATGATAATTCATGATATTTTTTTGTTATGAAAATATAAGTTTGACAAAAAAAGGTCACTGAATGTCTTATCACAATTAGATGATTGAAAGATTTGATTAGTTCCTCATGTACTAAGTGAAAGAAAAAAAGATAAATTAAAGTTAAATAATGAATGATTTGAAGAAAAAACAAACATTATACTCGGTAAAAGTTTTTTACCTACATAATGAACACACTACTGAGTTGCTCTATCCATTTAAATAGCGCTGTTTTTCAAAAATACCTATATATAATACAATTACAAAGTGATGTAATGACTGAAGTCGAAAGAAATTTGAGATCATGACAGGATACAAAGCAGCAGCTTACCAGCATAGAGCATTACATATACTGAACCCGCAAGAATCAATAAATTGCAACGCATGACGCTATGCCCAGCTACATAAGTTGCTTCGACAAATAGTAAAAATAGTAATACGCTTTAAATATTTAACAAAAGTTTACTTACAGCTAATGATTCTCTCAATTACTATTGGAATCATGAAAATTTACTGATCAATCTCAAATACTACAGCTTTCATTGTAATGTGCTGTAGTATTTGACCAGAAGGCATGGGTCATATGGAAGGATACTAGGTTCTTCTTTTACTAGTTATTACTGATACGGATGAGAGCTATGATGGAAGCATACAAAACTAACTGATGCGTGTTAGGTATGCCTAACTACAGCATACTATAATGCTTGATCCCCGTTGACATAGAATTAGTTTGGAAATAAGCTGAGGACCTACGTCACATCGACTTAAGAAGCCATATCGATAGGTTCAGATATTTTGTTTTTAATCCGCACAATAATCTTAATCAATGGTTGGGCGACAAGATTTAAAACCCGTTGCAGCAGCGTGATTACAATAAATGTATTCTCTATTTTCTTTTGTTTACTATCATTCTTAACTTGACATTCTCCTATCCCGTTTGCTGCTTATAAATAAAATTTATTATGTTCAGATTTCTATTGTTTTGATACGATTTGCTTTCCTTTGCTTCTCATCTCAAGTTTCTCTCCCCTTATGCTGATATGAGGTATGGTCAGTCAGTCAGTCAGTCAGTCAGCTACAACGTAGGACCAGGCACATTTATGCATCGGTCCAAGTTGCCATACCTCGTTAGCACAACAAGATGAACACCGGATTCATAGAAGTAATTAATTTAGCGGTGGTAGTAGTATATAAATTATAGGTTGTATATAAGGATATAGTACAGGAAGGAGGAGAGATATGAAGCAATTTTAGTCTCAAGGTTTAAAGGAAGATAAAGAGTGTATACACCTACGCCATTGTGATCGATTCTGAGCCATGTCACACAGAGTCTCCAACCATTGGTTACGATAATCACGCGGACCCCAACCAGGTAGGCTGCATCTGCCAACATGGCTCAGACTAGAAGTTAGTGACTTTAAACACTGATGCCATGTTTTGGTTTGGCCGCCCCTAACTCTCTTCCAACAATCCCCTACACTAGTCATCATAGCGCGTCGTGGTAATCGGTGTTCAGGCATACGTAACACATGGCCCAACCATCTCAGTCGATGAAGATTCATCACCTCATCAACTGATTTACCATCGTTCCCTAATACCCTGCGTCTAACCTCACTATTACTTACCCGGTGATCCCAGCAGATGCGTGCAATATTTCTAAGGCATCTGTATGAGGTATGGTAACTTGGCCCGATATACATTTGTATCAGACCTGACGTTGATGTCTGACTAAAAAATGAGTAAACAAAACCTTAATAAATACGTGCAACAGCACATTTACCCATGAAATTGTTTGAATTGCAGCAAGTATATGAGACTAAGACTATGAATCTCATTAGAATTAGACTATCAAAGCAATTGAAACATGACTAATGAGAAGAACATAAAAGAAAATAATCTACGAATACTATCAAAGAAATATCCTTTTCAAATACAGCAACCAAACTGCATACCAATCTATCATCTATTAAGAGATAAGTGTTTCCAAGGAAAATTTTGTCTATATACGAATGTGACAAGTTCTTTAATCTCGTAGACATTATGTTTCATTTTAAGAAAAAAAAAGTGAAACTGACTATTTTCAACAAAATTGAAGTTATTTACTTGTACAATAGTGTGTATTCGTTCCATAATATCAGGTACAATAGCCTTGATGGATTCAGTCATACGATTAGCCAGTCGACTAACAGCTTTCTCTTCTGACTGATGTACACAGAAATGTTCTTTTAAAAATTCAGATGCATTATTTTGTTGACCATTGAAACTCTGTATTCCTGTGTTTGACATCAAGGAAAATAGAGTCAAAAATAAATTCGCGTGCCTGTATATGAGTAAGAAGAAATGAAAAAAAACTGTTAACTACAATTGATAGAAGTATTATTACTGTATAGATAACTGATGAACAACTAATTAAAATTAATCTTTACGCAAAAACTATAAGAAACCTTACAACTAATAAGTGAAACATACGAAATCATACAAAGAATGGCCATTGATGTGGATGGGAAGGGTAGCGTTATATCATGAAGCGAGTGAAAACGAAAAACTATGAGTTTCGGAATGAGTAGTCCAACATTAGCATTTTTTCTAGACTATTAGCATCAACTGTTTAAGATATTGAGATGCTAAAAATTATCCTAATACCTGACGAAGACGAGAAGTCGATAAACAGTTGGATGAAAGAGTTGAATGCAGATCAAACTCATGGAAATAAATACTACAACTGTTTAGAAATGATTCGTAATATAACGATAAACTACACAAAATGTTCCTGAGCATATTTTATTTAAAACATTTAAACAAAACAAACGTTGACTTAAATAATTACAACGTTTATATTCAAGCTAAAAACAATAATATATTAGTACATAGAAACATGATCAAATCTATTAATAGATCTTTAGACTGTACCAAATTTTAACTACTTATCAAAATCATTTATCACTCACCGTCTTAAAATAAGAAAAGCTGTAAAAGTGATTTTCCAAAATTCATTAAATTGATTTGAATTTGGACCACCCATACCATCAATCATTGCACGAGTTAATCTTACTTCAGGTGCCATCGGTTTAGGATCAGCACCAAGAATAAAACTAAAATCAATATGAAATAAATGACCATCAGCAGTGAGCAGTAAGTTCTCCATATGACGATCACCTACTCCAAGAAGATAAGTGATGACACAATAACCAGCTGTAAGAAAAGCGAAAAAAATATATGTGGTTTCTTTAATAAAGTGTTTGAAGATAGTATAAGGTATTCATGTCATACACCATTCGAGGAAGAAATACCACATAATGACTGAAAATATTTACGAAAATGAACAATTGGTTGAGTTGTGTGATAAATAATGATAAGATTCTTCGTTTGATGTCCTTCGACAATCACTCACCCTACTACTACTACTACATCTAACTACTTGGTATTCATCTAGATTGTTTCATTACATTACGTAAGTATAGCGTGATAACTTAGAACTGTGTATATATGTGCTAGTTTCTGGGCTGCTTATAACTGACTTCGAAAGTGATAAAACCGAAGATTACAAAAAATGAATGTACGAAAACACTAGCTTACTAGTGATCTTTTCTAATAAAAGCAGCTTAAACATAGAGCATAAAGTATGACTCAACCAAACACGACAAAAGTACTGAGGATTGAGATTGTGAATTCAGCTAGAAAAAACAGTGTAATTGAGTTGACATAGTAGATAAACTCGGGCATTGAAGAAATATAAACCTTAACTCTTCCTATACTTGAACTTGTTTATTCTTAAATATTGTTTTATTTGTATCGTCCTGTCTCATTCGCTGTGTTTACATTTGTCGTATTTGATAAGTTGTATAACTGAACGCTGGAATCGATTTCCTGATCGCTTTTAGTAATCCCAGGTTAAATTTACACGGAAACGTGAATACAAAAGAAAAGGCACAATGTGTAAAAGGAACGTTTTACTCCAAGTTTGGTTTTAGTACAGAAAATTGAGGGTATTTATGTTATTTCAGATTGCTTTGGGCTTCAGGAAGATTCTGGAACCATACTAAATGTAGTGGAAGCACAGGTAACTATCCAGTCAAAAACGTGGCTCTGTACTTTCTAAATGTATCTGAGATGATTCTATTGAACGCTGATGTGTGGGCGAGGATGATAATGATTGGTTGTCTTGATGAGTCAAACATTAGATAGGATGACAGGTGTTATGTGTTATATATATTCCCCTATCCTTATTATGTATTAACTGTTCCTTGTTGATGGACACTTATTGATTGACTGTTTCGCATTTTGTTGTGGAAATATATTGACGTTGTAGTCAGGCTAATCTCGTGTTCTTGATCCGAGTTGTGTTGAAGTCCTGTAGAATAGACACTGGGTGGGAATCTAGTGTAGATATTCGTCTAAGGTAAATTAGCGTCCCACGTACGTATAAAAGTGGAAGGACTGTTATAACCAGAACCCCTAGAGTTATAACAAGCATCCTCTGCGTTTATAACAAACGCCGATGGAAAAAAGGATTCCCAGCGTTTTCTGAGGTCCAATGAACTTTTCCGAGGAATACTTTGAATCTCCTCCATAGCATCAACTTCACCAAATAGGTTCTCTTAATTTAGTAAAATATTTTCACCCTGTTATCATTTGCTACTTCATTACTCTAACCGTTTTGTATATTAGTACCTAAATACTAAAATCATTAGAGGAAATTGCGTCATTGAGCTACCAAAACACTGTTAGCTATCCATAGTCGACCTATGACAATTACTATTTACACAGAATACCATCTTTTATTATTAAATAAAACGTTTTTTTGTCTACAAAGTTATTTTATTCACATAAGATGGTTTGTCTTTATAACAAAAAAAACATACCACAGGAGCGAATATATGTTTCCATTACGTCTTTTTGAACACCCATAGGACTATTTGGACTCGGAGCTTTTAATTGTAAATAAGCTAGTAATGTGGAGCGATGAAGAATATCAGCCAATGAAATAGACTCAACAAATTGAACTAAACCTATAAGAAAAGAAGCATAAGAGTACTAAATGAAAAGTGATTTTTTCATGTTTTATCAATACCAAAGAAAATTTCTCGTCTGATTCATTATAACAAAGAGTGTTACACGCTTTTGGGGTTACTCAGTATTTACTTTTAGGATTTTTTACGATTTTTAAATTCTTTTATATTTCTCTATTATTCTTTATCATGCTCCATTATTCTTTACCGGGGTTTCAAGAAAAGAGTTTACTTTGCGGCAGAGGGCGCTGAAGGCGGTTAATGAGGTATACGGTGCCATTATTAGTATCTTTAAGAATATGGTTGTGAACAGACATTTGAAATCTGAAGAACTAATGGCAAGTGTTATTTTATCAGATAGAAGTGTCACATAGTTCTCCTTGTATATCTTCCAGTAGAACGAGACGCAGATGTATGCAAGCAAAAGTGTAAAGGCTTTACTTTCTTACTTTTTATCTTCAATTTTTTATTAAAAATCCTTGGTACACTAAAGTGTAAAATGTAGAATACTTAAAACGTTACAATGATATTTTTGAATAGAAATGGTTGATAAAAACGATGTAAATAAAAGTCAGATTAATACATAAGTAATTTACCGAGACGGTTACTTGTAGCCAAAACTTTATACGGTGTCAGTCGAAGGTCGAAATTTTCTTTGCGAAGGATCTACAACAGATAACGACAAAAATTCCGTAAAATAAATAAATAAAGTGTTAATGAGAACATGGTTAACATTTATCTTTATTGGCGTGCCGATAATTACAGAAGGAAAGCCTGAAATAACAACAAATGTGAGTGTTTTACTTCATTATTAATCATCACAACAAAACTTATGGAAGTCGTACTTTTGAAGATAAGCAGTAAGAAGAACAATTGTTAACACAAACCACTCACAACTACTAAGGTAACGTATTAAGAGAGAAAGTTTTACAGAACCATGCCAACTAACAAACTTTATAGTTTGCATTACGGATTGATATTAGCTAGATAACTAAGTAAATCAGGAAATACTGGATAACTGTTTCGTCCTAAAGCAGGGACTCCTCGGCAGTGTGCATATACGATCCAACCGGGGATAGAACCCACGACCTGTAGGTTTTGCATCGAGCACTTAAATTTTGAATAACGGAACTTGATAGGAACAGTGAACACTATGGGATATGGAGAATTTATTTTATTTCATGCGTTTACGATCTTCTACATAAGCAATAAATTATTGCACAAGATGTTTAACAGATATAGTCTTGTGAGAATGAATCGTTAACTAATTTATTCTATGGTTATAAATAATCGTAATTACTTCTTGAAATTTAAGAAATTAAGTTTACACAAGAAGAGAATGGAAAAGAAAATTCAAGACGTAATGAACCGGAAGAAACGTGTAAATTATTCACAACAGAAGGGATGAAGTGATGGAACTAATATCTATTACCAAAAGTTGTGAAATAATCATGAAGAAGGTGATACTAATAGTGATATATCAAGTAGATATGGAAAGTAGAAAAAAAGGTGCGAAGAACTGAATTGGTAGAAGGTCAAATATTCTTTTTTGAAATAATGAGGCGGATTGTAATGATAACAGTAATAAAATACAGATGAAAACTCAGTTGAACTGATCATATTTTGAAGAGACAGGTAGTGAAAGTGGACCATAACAAATGATTTTAACCGGAGGATCACTGAAAACCATAGAGATTTAAACTGTCTCGTCCTAGTCAGCTTCAAATCCGCCAATACTTACGAAGCTTAAACAGCCAACCAGATATCGTCTAAATGATAAGCTAAAACAATTGGTTAAGATGTGACTTCCGCTTCTACAGAATGAGACGTTTCTATATGGCTTGAATTTCCAAAGGACACATGTATGGGTGAGTGTATATCTATTTTTAAAAAACGGTTGACCAATCAAAAAACTTCCTTCCTCGCAAATAGGAAGCTTGAGTAACAGTATCAGAATCGGTCTAAATATACATATTTCTAGCAATATAACTTTTATCGCATAGTTCCTTACTGTAAAAAGTCAAACCGCAAAGATGAATGATAAACTTTTGTGCTTTGGACATCATGAATTTTAAAGTATAGTTATTAATAGAGTATCCAAGTTTTACAAATTGTCTTATTTTTCGAAGCACTAAGTGGGTATATATGTCAAATTCTATTCTATTCTATTCCAATAGACAGCGTAGAAACTATGATAGACTAAGCCAACAAAATCACTGTTTACCTCGACGTCCTATACTATTGTAGGTGTGAAAGCAACAAAACCTTATAAGTAAGAAATCAAAATATATAATTATCTGATAGCCCCACAGATTATACTATATAACTAACTGACTCTAGAGAAAAGATAATATTGTAAGAAGATAGAAACAATTAATATGTAGAAAAATAATTTCTGAGTATAAAATAAACACTGGACTGCAATAGCTAATCATACTCAGACTATCTTTCAAATTATCAAGCGACTACTTTATGATATCTGAACGCTTGGTAGGAATTTCTCTTCAGCTACAAAATGGCTATTAAGAATAATTAACTTAAGAGAATAAGTTAAAGAAAATCTTACCACATCCATTAACTCAATCATTTGTAAAACCAATTGATCCTGGCGTAAATCATCACCATGTTTTAAAATAGCTCGATACGTATCGCCATTCGGTTGGATAAAAGTCAGTAATGCAGGTCGTTGAAAACTCTGCAAGAAATTGATGGCAGAATAATAGAAAATCAAATTCATGAAATATTTACATCACATTTATATTTTTAGTAGCCTACAATAGTAAAAAAGGTATGTGAATAATTTCCAGGTTTTTTCATGAGTTTGAAAGGAACAAACTTGCCAGGTACAGAATCGTGTAGCTGGCTATGAACCTCTCCTCCCCCCTCCGAAAAAAATAGCTTGTCATATTAATCATTTTATAACTGAAGATCTACCATTTGTAATTTCAAAATTTTTTAAATGACCCTGTTCATTTGAATGATGTTAATCATCATAATTAACAGAGAAATATACATATACAAACAAACCTTGAATAGTGTAGCTGTAGACGATTGTACGCCGCATACAATAATATCCGGATTTAAAGGAAGTGGGAATGGTCTGTCAATATGCCTAATATGAGCATATTCTTCACTATCCAACTTTGATCTTAACAATTCAATCTATACATTAAAACAAGAATAAATAAATAAATTCAATATATAATTAATATACACTGAAATTACTCGTTTACTTTACTAATTTCATAAACGCCGACATCAGAAAACATATCTTTCTATTATACCTAGTTAATTCAATTTGAACCGCTCTTGTGGAACTAGTTATTATGGGCGCGCAACTAGACAAATGCACCATCGTATTTCTGAACATCATCCTTCATACTCGACTAAAGGACGGAAAAAAGTAATAAGAAGCTCTATGTTGCAGCATCTAGTTGGTACTAGTTACCACATACATAAAAATTCAGAGTTATTTATAACATCTCACCGAATTTACCCTATGGTTCTAGAATCTGACTTTTCATACGGCAGAAGCCATAGGAATACATATCAAAAAACCTAATTTGTGTATGCACAAGTTTAGAAAACTTTGAATCTACCAACGCCTTTTACTAAGATAATGTCACATGTTTCAAAAACGTTTTTTACCTCCTCTTAAAATGTCATATTTATATCCAATTTTAATTATGTAACTATTTGTAATAATTAACTGATTATGAAAATTCACTTTAGTTTTAATCTTAACCTGACTTTTTCAAACGCTATATATAATAACTGATTATTTAGTTAAACTGACTGACAACCATCTAATTGGTATCGACTTTCTACACACTGCTTCAGTTTGGGCACCTGGGCAGTATCTCAGCCCTCACACAAATTGAATGAGATTTGTGCTTCCTTGTACCAATATTTATGTGTTTAAATAAATAAATAAATAAATAAATAAAACACACTTATAAAACATATAAATTAGTGTAGAGACTTAATGAAGAACTATGTGAAAAGAAATATTTCTTTATTTTCATAGTTGAAATCATGAGTCAATTGAAGCTAGACTACCATGGAAAACCTGGAAGCACTGGACGGTCGTTTCGTCATATTATGGGACTCCTCAGCAGTGCGCATCCACGATCCCGCACCCGCGAGATTCGAACCCAGGAACTACCAGCTTCGCGCCGGAGCACTCAACCGATAGACCACTGAGCCGACATCCATCTTTGCTGAACATGTCTTTTTAATGTCTCAATGAGAATATTAAATGAATCAATAAAATGTGATTCGGATTTGATTGGTGAGCTTTGGTTGTGAAAAGTACTTATTCAGTTTTTAGATAAAAACTTAGCATGAAATAGTGAATAAAGTAGGATGAACTTCTAAGAAAGACACAATTATTTCATTGGTCTGATATCAAGGAAACCATATATAGAAGTAAGAAGTAAGAGGTTCTAGATCGAACATTATAGGTAAAATCCGTGAAGGAATCAGTATTATTATTATTTATTATTTAAACACATAAATACTGGTACAGAGGGGGCACCAGAAATATATGCGCCCCACAAATCTCATTTGATTTGTGTGAGGGCTATAATACTGCCCGAGTGCCCAGACCGAAACAGGTAACGAATCAGTAAAACAAACTTACAGTTTATTGAAAACACACTAAGAATCATAACCACATAGATATTGAGATGGAAATTAGCAGTTATTCAGGTACAAATTAAAAGCAAATGAAGGATAAAATTCTCTTACTGAATATATTATGTCTTTTAAATGAATAGAACACATAAAATTGAATTACTTTACGTGAACGATTACCCAAATCATTGGTAACTGATTTTAGCAACCGACATAAATCTTGAATGAATTGTGTTTGTTGTAGTAGTTCTATGTTCCATTTTTGACAAGTAGGACTACCCTACATGTTAATTAGTTGAGAAAAAAACACAAAGAAACCAAGTTACTGAAAAGTTAAACTGTTACACCATATGGTAACACTATAATAAAGAGATAATCAACTAAACCATTGTCACATTCGATAGGATCAAGATACACACGTTGCAACTAAATCGGATTCAACGATTACTCATAAATATAAACCCAACAATTATTTCGGATAGCAGTTAGCAGTAAAATCCATGAAACTTATTCCTTTCTATTTGGAACTAACCAGTAGAATGTACTCCCAAAGCCATATTGCTATCCACACTGGAATTCAAAACCAGTAACCATCTCTTCAAACGTCAAACAATAACTAACTTCTAAATAGCACCAATATTGAGGTTTTCGTTAAGAGAGTTTGAATGTCAACACAAACCTGGTGTTCCCAGTCAGAATAAACTGTGATTAGCCAGTGAGTGAAGACATACATATCCGGGTACCATGACTACAAGAGAATATCGTATATATATATATATATATATATATATATATATATATATATATAACTGGCTTCACTTTTGTTATAATTTGAGTTTACTTGTTAACTACATTACAGTGTACATGTTCTCGTTTTGGACAATACCTGGTTCTCTATCGGCTTTCGGATATTTAAACTGGGTGTTATGTGATTAAGCACCGTGCTCAATTAGGTTCACTAATTTAGATCTGTGTTTAGTTTTACTGACAGAATTTTATGGTGTCTGGTCCTCTCGCATAAAGTGCCAGAAACGCAAACCTTGTGTTTTTGTTCTAACACTGGCTAATTTCATACTAAAAATATCGACAGAGGGAAAATACAAACATAGATAATGAAATCAAGAAAGTTGACTACTGAGAAATTTTAGAGCATATTGTTTTGTAAGATTTCAAATTTCTAATGGTGTTGATACTTGAGATACATTTATATCAAAATGTGTTTGTCATTTCTAAAACTAATAAAATAAACGCTTTAATCAACATCGTTACTATCAGAATTATCTTTCTAATCCTAACAGAAACCAGATAAATATCAGAAACACTTACAGGGTAACAAGTAAATTTGGTATAATACGGGGGTGGGAATGATCGATTAAAAGTTATAGACATTATTGATCATTAAAAGCAGGAAACTGACAGGATTTATGGCCGATATTTCTTCACCAGATTGGTGAGCGTAATAAGATCAAACATTTGCTCTGAGTAACATCAAACTACTCACCATGCATACCAGTAGTGTTTCTCACTCAACTTGTAGTGTTTAGTACTATGTCAAGCCAAAATGGGTCACTCTAGCTTCCGGACAGACCAATTTATTTATTTTTCCTGAGTCACATTTTGACCTTGTCAATTATTCGCTTATAACCTAGATTGGTTTTACATGAGAAAATGTGTCCATCACTTACCCTATTCATAAAGTCTTCAGCTTACTTTTGTCTAACTATAAATATTGTATCACGCTTCGTCAAAACGAGTTGGCACACTTTATTTCTCCGCTTCACTTCGTTTTCCCGCTTCTTATTTTTAATGTCTCTCAGAATATACGTGTACCTGAAATAAATTCATCCAACTTAATCGGAATTAGGTTTCTTATTACCACCGTCACACTAATGGGATTGGACTAGGTAATATTCGGAGTTAAATGGAAGATTTATGTTTATGGCATACTCATACGTTCATTCAAATCGGAGTCAGTTTGGTCACATAAAAATATTCACTAGAGTATTATCGGATAAATACACAGTGTTTGAATTACCAGGGTGTTTTCAAAAGTGTTGTTAAGTGATCAGAATGGTGGAAATACATTAATAATATCTCTTTTCGTTTTGACAACAATGTATTAGCGAGAAACAAACTGTTAAGAAAGCCAAAATAGAATTCAAGTGTTCATTTTGAATATTTTAGTCTGGGTTCAAACAGGAGATATAAACAGTAAGTAGTTTAGATTTCGATAACTTTTGTATAATTTTGAATAACCAAGTATTATTGGTAACCAGAAAGTAGTATTTACGGATATCAGTCAAATACAGAAACATTATTAAAGTTCTTGCTTCGTAAGTTTTGATTTCATAACCGGAAACCAGTAACTGCTACAATGAAACCTCTCTGCACAACCACAAGTTACTTATTGCCTAATGTTACTGATGGGCAGTCTTGCAGTCCAGTTACATCTTAATTACCAGTATACCTAAAGTTATAAACTCAACAGTATAATGTGAGTTAAGAAAAAAAGTGGCAACAACAATATCAAGACTGTACATTGCCCCAGTGATAAAAACTTACAGCATCAAAAGCATGTAAAAGTCTATTCAAAACATGTTTATACATCTTTTGAGTATCCGGTGAATTTAGTGTATCCTGTTCTGAGAAATCATCTTCACCATCATTGCTGTTTGCTTCTAAGCGTAAAAACCAATATAGGTTATTTGCAATACGAAAATTTAGTTGAGCACGTCTTATGAGGAAACTGGCTAAATCTTCCTATAAAAGAAGATAAATGTGTACATGAGAAAAAACATTTTGTAACTAATCCAATGGGTCGTTTAAAACTGTGTGTGTACTTGTAAACAACAAATTCTATGACTCAATGGTATTGTGCTTGTAACAAAATGCAAAGATTCTGAGATTATTTTACACAAAACCTTTGTTTTATCCAATTTCAATGACTTCCATATTTCACATCATTGCATCAGTAACTGAGATCAGCTCGAGATTTTGATTAAGACAGTCCAACAGTTTTTACAAATCCTCATGTACTAATAATTATTACGTACTCACTAGTAACTAGCTTCATGACCCAAATACAAGGGTTCTAATAAGAAGCTGTGGTTACAGGAGTTCAATCGTGTGACATGTGAGGCAGTTATCTGCTAAAGGTAATGGATGAGTTGTGAAATATCGTGGATTGATCGAAGTTAAATATTAACACCGATGGATGCCAAATCAGTGGTGATCTAGAAGCTAAGCATTGGCGCGTGAAACCGTGGACTCTGGGTCCGATACCCGAATTCAAAGTTATGGATTAACACTGCTGGGGAGTCCCATACTGCGACAAAACAGCTGTCTGGTGCTTCCAGATTTTCAATGGTTGCCTAGCTAAGATTAGTTCGAGATTTAAACTATGAGAATTATTCAATATCCACAAATCCCTTATACTAACATATTTATAAAAGTTAAATTAAAATTTATTTTGTAAATACACAATGTTTTTATAGTACACTTTATAAGCTCCAAACCTCGAGACAATAACTTCGTTTCTCTCTCCTGGAAGATACTAGGATTTCCTTGAATTACGGTATCGAGACTAAATGGTTTAAAATTGGTTGGTATTATATACATAGACGGTTACTCTGTTAAATGTGGTTGAAAATGAGATTTACTTGGTATCCTTTAGATATTCATATCAATCATTCATTTTAGTGGGTTTAAAGACTTTCAAAATTCTATGTAACCTCGATCGCTTGATTGTTTGCTGTCAGATCATAGTGAAATAAAAACGCATTTAGAAACCCGAAGTTTCTTTAACTAAGAATAACAATGTAATCTGCTTATTAATAATCAAACTTTGATACTTAATCATCATAACTGTGACCACTTAGTGGTGGTTGGTTATATGAATTAAAAGCTAATAAAGTCAATTGGCCTAAATACAAAATATTCATGAAATAAAAAAAGTCAACAAAGTGCACAGCTTTCTTATTCAATTAATATATGGTTATATGAGCAATGGACATTTCGGGGAAGAGAGAGAGCAATGTATAGAAAAAAAATTCATTGCCTGACGCCTTATTAGTTTTATCTTAGTGAGAGGGGTAGTAATTTAAATGTATATCCACCAAGTGATTCTCATTTGATATTACATTCAACAAGGTGAATACCGAAGCTGGTACAAGAGTACGATTCCTTGATACAACAAATACGGTCCATATTATTATGTAACAAATAACCCAATGAAAAAGTCAATAAAAATCATTAAACACTAAAAATCATACTGCACAAACATGAACACACTTAACTCACTTTCCATTCTTTTTTCAAATCAGAGTGCCATCCGATTAATTCTTCACGACTACGTTCAATATTTGACAATGCTGTTGATGAATGAAATAAAAAAAATTAGGATGATGACTTACCACCACCTCGTCCAGTACGAAAAGATGATGGTATTTTACGATTTGATGTCAAACTTGTAGATTTCACCTCTTCAGAATTACCTTCTTTTATAACATCTGAAACATTACGTTTAGAAGTTCGATCATTCCTTTTAGGTCGAACTGAAAATATATCATGCCAATTTTCATAGCGTAATGCCTGTACAAGTTGATATAAGTATAAGATAAGTTCCTAAATGGATAGATGGAAGTTTATGTTATTGTTTTTACATTCTGGAAAAAACAATACAAAACAATTATAAAAATATAGATTCGTAATTCGAGATTTTATTCCCGTTTGTTGAGTGAGGGTTATCTTCAACGAAGTATATAAAAATAGATTTCAATCTACTAACCAGTGTTCCGAAGACAATTGTTTAAATTACATTATGTTCACTACAACTAGGTATCAGGAAATCAAAAAACATTGCATTTACTGTTTATAGAGGCCTAACAACAGATGACGGATTACTTTAGAAAAATAGAGAACTATGGACTGAAATGTATACAGTAATCCAGGAAAGATATAAGCATAAAGGTAAGAATAAATCCTAATTGTTAATCAGTGTAGTGTTTGATGCTACTTCATTTGTGTACTAAAAACCAGTGGCCTTCGGGCTCATTTTCGCTTCTTTCGGTAAATGAAATCAACTCTGAAGGTTGGGACAGTTCTTTAAGTGACTAAGCTAACACTTCCAAGGAATATTTAGTTCTAACAGCAATAAAAACACTCTTCTATGTTCCAAACCAGTATTAAAATGGGACAATGTTCGTTTTACTCAAAAACAATGGATTTAAATAAGACCTGTTGCTGTGATGTAGAAACCATATTTATGTCTAACAACATCAGCCCGACTTCTAAAATGTAATTTATTCTACTCTCCTTACTATGAAGAATAATTCAACATGTAATGGTCAATTATTCTTATCAAAACTACTATCACACTGTACATTTTATTATTAGTTATTTTTATAAATTAACATTATTCCCAAATTGGCTGATAAGTCGCTCAATATTGTCAGTATAATAAACTTTTACTGTGAGATTTAATAAGCAAGTTAGTTGCATACCCGTTGATTTGAAATTAAAATCTAGAAGGAAAAGCCTTGAAATAGTATTCTGATCTCTCAAACTTCATAAGCTGAACCAGCTAGCGGTTCATCAAGTAAGTATCATAGCTACTTCTTTCTTGTTCAACTCTTATTTCTGTTTGCTCTTATTAAAGTACAGGGACAAAACGGTTAATATCAATAATAATAATAATAATAATAATAATAATAATAATAATAATAATAATAATATATAGTGATATTTCAGTGAGTAGAAATCTGGACTTTGTACGTTTCTCAACTTGATTTAAGCCAATTCTTCAGAGTAAATGTATAAATGACTAAATTAAATATAAAGTTCAATAGAAATCAAAATCAAAATACATCTGGTTATGTTAGTGTCGATTGAATCATCGGTCAATGTGATCCCGTATGAGACGGATCACCGGGTATATTTGTGTATATGCCCATGGATATGAAAGATGTATAATTTGTAATATGAAAGCGTAAAATTGAAATTTGTGTGTTCATTATGTAAAGAATGATTGGAATCAAATGCGATCGGTGAAAAAACGATTCAAGTTCCTTCCTATTTAAGTTTAAGGGATTGAGCACTGCGTGAAATGTCTCTGCCACTCGCCTTTCTTTTATGTAAAAAAAAAACTTTCTGAATTACTTTCATAATTTTATTAACTATCTGGGTGTTACTAGATAAAGCGTGTACTTCTATTACCCACTTAACTAATAAATTGTTCCAGTTCAACAAGATTATTGGGTGTTTCTGTGTAGTTTAAGAGTTCCTTGTAATGAGTTGAGATTTCACGGGAACTATCTAACATAGAAACTGTCACAATCCATTTAACCTAATCCGTAGATGTAATTATATATAGATGTAAAAGGGATTCTTTCGTTGATTCGAACTAAAGGATTTCGAAGAGTGGAGGTTGTTTGATAGACAGCTTTAGTTCTGCATAGTTTCAGGATACGTTGCGATTCTTCTGTCATACCGTAGCAGTACAAAAATATTTTAACTTTACTTTTGAAATACGGAAGATTAAATGATACGTATTAATAATCATTATAAAGCATCCAAAGGCTTTTTGTCATTTTAATGAAATTACAGACTATAGTATTCAGTTATTAATTTTCTGAAATTATCTTTCTTTTTGTTGGTAATAAACAATAAGCTAAATTGAGAAATAAAAACGAATAAATAGTAGCTACAATAATCTATTCAGATTACATGGGAACACCTTGAAGAGTTTGAAAGAATATCCATTGATAGTAGCAAGATGAACATAGCTTGTAGTGACAAAACCAGCATTTACTAACATTCAAGCAAATCAAGCTGAGGGATTCAAGAACATCACAATAACAGAACACTCTATCTACAATAAGTCATCATCAAAACTTTATAACATTGCTAAATAAATAGTTACAGTTCTGATACGAATATTTGAATTATAAAGAAAGTCTTTAACAATTTAAGGAAACAGTAGTTACATACCTCATCACTGGCAGCTTCCAAACGATGTACAGCGAACCTTCTACCGGCAGGATGAAGAAATTGACGAGTGAACAGTTCTAGGACATGTTCAGGCGCTATTGTTGGCCATTGTTTTAACAATTCAACAGCTTGATTCACTTGTTCTGTATATTCCCAACGAACAGATAAAATGAATTTAGCTAAAGAAGTCTGTAGAAGATATAAAAAGGATAAACGGTTCGACTAGTATGAGTAGGACTAATGCTATGAGAATCCTAATTCAAAATTTCAATCTCTCTCTTAATATACTTAAGTATATCCTTGTTAAATATCCTCTGATCATATTTGCATATTATGATTTTCAAGCCTATTTACAGTTCCTTCTACTGTCATTCTTTATACAATAACTCTTCACTTTAATGAGTAATTGACATCATTTTTAAGTTTGCGTTTCTATTACATCTGTGACTTACTTTATGATTGGTTGTTCTGATATTTTACAAATGACCAAGACAGTAATAAAGCTTTGTCATTTAATCTGTTGAAGTCATGTATACCAATAGTGACTTATAACAGCTAATACTCTGACTGAACCTTCAGTATCTGTGGAAATAATTTTTCAGCAACCAACCCACCAGGACAACTAGTACATTTCCTTTTTCAAACCAAGTGATAAAGATAACACTCACTGAAAAACATTGTATCTAGTTGATTTTAAGTGCATGTATTCTCAAGATTTTAGTTAACATATTCAGGGGATTCTGTTTTATCAGTATTCTTGTATGACACGATTAAGGTCTTTTAATAAACGACAACTCTCTACAGACTAAATATGAATAAATTAATTCGATTGCAACACTGAGCAATGTTGTATACTTGCTTAGGGAGATTCGATCACTGCACCTTTTAACCAAAGGAAGTTTAAAGCGAAATTCAAAATCAGAATTTAATACTATTTCTCATAACATTTTGATTCTCATAAGTATGTTTAAAGAGAGTAACACGTAAACTGCTGAAGCAATCGTTACCTTCGTATTTGAATAGTATTATGACACGAATGTAAAAATATAGAAACGTTTATTTAATAAACTAAATACCAGTATCTGAAGTTATAAATTTTAACAATAGCGTTTCAATCTACGGTTTCAATGACAAAACATAATATGACAGCCGCTCTTTCAAACATTAGGGCCATCTAATTTTCAAATGTACAAATATAGGATTAAACATTCCTATTTTAGATTTGTTTTAACTGACCAATTATGAATGCTAACCGTATCCACTCATAGGATTTTATGGAAATTTATAATATTGAATAAAGCAATGGTTATCATAACAACTCTTTTATATGCATATTTGAATTGCAGCATTAATCCAGTAATCTACAGAGCTGAGTCACTGCTTCCTAATTTACAGTAATCATCCGATTCAATACTTGTTTATATGACCCAGATTCAAGCATAGAGTGAGGTCTAAAATCTAACACTTAAAATGTAAATTTTATTTAAAATAAGTAACAATAAATCTTACTTCAGGGAATTTGTCAGCTAAATAAAATCGATACTTCCAGATAAGATCCCCATCTGACTCGGATATATTTAATCCCGGTGGTAAATCAAGAACAAGCTTAATAAATGAAAAGAAAATTAATTAAGAGCTCATAGTGATTGATCTACTCCAGTAATTACGTGAAAACTAAATTAATTGGACTGTGAACACAAATTAGTTGAATTGATTAATTAATCAGTGACTAAAAGGCAAACCTTAAATGCAACGTTTAGGCATAACAACCAAAATGAAAAAATTGAATCAGGATAGCAACTATACATCAACGATAATCTTCAAATTAGGGTGAAATGAAAAACTATATTAAAAGAACCAATAAACTAGACATTGAAAGACCGTCGTGATGGCACAAAAAAATGAATGATGACTAAGGTGAGGTAGTTTGAAATCTTAGATTCAAGTATCCAAAGGGATAACTAATATAATAGTAAGTGAAATAAAGCATCTTCAGCCAATTAACAATCCCCAAAAATATGTTCCAGTATGGTTTTGCAAAGAAGAGAGAAAAACTTTAAATGAGATTCTAAAACATGTAATCCATTCTAACTATTCCACTGATACACAGGTTGATTTTAAGGTTGTTTATAGGATTCATCTAAATCTACCCAGATTTCTTCGCACTCAACCTCTAGAAAAATGTAAAGTTCTAGTCATCCATGAGGTGAAGCGTGTATATACAAAAAAGTACGTCTAACTGTTGCCTTTACCATGAGGTTCAACTGTTATTTTTACTTTATTTTCATTTTATTGATTTCGTATTTGAAAATATCGCTCTCTCTTTAATTATTTCTAGTATCCCCATGATTTTACTCATAACTGTTTCTGATATCAACTCATTTTATTTAACCACTCTAAAACCCTTGAATATTGTGACAAAAACATTTTAATTATTTTATTTCATTCACATTATAAGCAAACGTTAACGTATTCATTTCACATGGCGTGTTATTTGCACACGGAGATTCTTTTATTATGATTATTTACATTGCGGTGATTGGACGAGAACCAGTGCTTTCAACGTGGTATGGTCGCCGGCTGAAATAGGAACAATAACGGGGCGGATTTGCACTGTGTGGCGCATATATATCTAGTGTTCCCTTGTACCAATATTTATGGGTTTAAATAAATAAACAAATTTATACTATATATTCCGGTATTACGACCATTATGTTTATTCATTATTCACATGTTATTACCAAATTAATATGTTGTGGATGTCAAATCCCCAGAACTTACTTGGTAAATGGCTTAATTTTGTAATTTTATTTTGAAAATCTGAATTTCCTCGTTTTCGCGCCAAAGGCACTCTTTTCACCTTCAAGTCGTATTTCCCACTTGTAAAATATCTTAAATGTTATTGGTCCGTTGTATCTTTGAGTGTGCTATTTTGTAATGCTACCCAAGGACAATTTATCGCTATATGTATACGTTTGAGTTTTTCCCCTTATGATTTGCTTGTACTCGGCTGCTTACGGAATACATATTACCCTACATCGCCTTGGACTTCTTCTTCTAGTTAGCGGGGCCTGGGACGACGGATTAGATTAGCTTATCGTGTCACTGTGTCATTGTTCTTCGTTTGTTTACCGAGAAAATCGAATTAGCTCAAGCATTTCATAATGCTTTAAAAAAATCTCATAAACTGTACAGCTTGATAATAAATTCATTGAAAAGAGATCTCTTTGCAGAATTTTGTGTTTTAAATAATATTTGGCAAATTCTATATATGTCAATATTATTAGAGGTCTACGAAATAAATTATTCGTATAGTTAATTATAATTTACTAAAATCACTCAACACCAAGAACTATCTTATTAAATTTTAAATCTTAAAATTGTGATACCGCTTAATCTATTGACATTAGGGAAGCTGAGAAGTATCTATATTATGTGTATTCTAAAATTTAGTACAAAAATAGTAGCCTGATATATTAGTAGTTAATTGAGAATGAAAACTTGACAGATCTAACTTAACTGCTTAGACCAGATCGCTACAATCGCTACAACAAAAATGAAATAACTTAATCAAGCATTTAACCTATGTTAACCGGGAAATATAATAAAAATAGTGATAAACAAAGAAATAAATAATAATATGATTGAACTGACTTTCAATCTATCTAATATGTCTTTATTAGGTTTACGTGCACGATCCACGTCAGCTGTACGAGCATTACGTGTCATTTTAAAGTACTTTTCATCTACTGGATTCCACTAGAGGCAAAAAAAAACAGTGAAAATGGTTTCTGACTCAATTAACAATAATTCGCAACAAATGACAAAACATAATATGAATAACAGATAAAATAATGAAAATGATCATTTGTCAGTGCTTTCATAAATTATTAGTTCAAGTAACCTCATATTTTGTATAGAATCAATGAGTATTAAAAGCCTGATAAGGTCTGATCAGATAAAATACTTCCAAGTCATACAGTCTCAGTCACATTATAAGACCAGTTATTCAAGGGATGCACTAAACTGTCAAGTTAAATAGCCTAGGTGCCTAGCTTCAAACAGTAAATGCTAAATGACTTTCATTTCATTTCATTGACAAAGTTAGTTCTCAAATTATTCACAAAATGAGTTTTTCAAGAACTGCCCTCACTAGGTCGGATCATTTAATCATATGGTTCTGATTGAATTTCTAGACAATATCATTAATAAAAACCTGAAAGAAGAATTGATTTCTTAGTGTTTCTCTACACATAATTAGCAGATTATTTGGTTGATAAGATATATGGTTGGTAGTAACCAGTAATTGTGATATCACTGTTTCGACATATTAGTTAATTACCACTTTTCCTAGACATACCCCTAACTTTTTATTTGATTATCATTCTTCTAATCGACATAAAAAATGGGTTTATTTAAAATTATTTAGAAGTATACTGGATGCTACTCACAACATTGCCTGTAAGTAGTATATTACGGAACATGGCCACGAAGTTGTCGGACAGGAATGAAGAGTTTCAGGACAGAAAATGCATGACTTTGGAAGAACACTTGAGGATCAGACGAAAAGAATGTTCAAATTACAGAACATACCAAAAGACGCAAATGGACGATCGAAGGCAATGTATATGTATTACGTAAATGCTTTGTAACTTATCCCAATAAGTACAGATTCATCCAGCCTATTGTCATCTTTCACATTAGATGTTGAATGGCTTAGGCGTTTAGCTTTAGGAGGCTCTCCAGTCTATTTTTTATTGCTTATATTTACAATTTGCAGTGATCTTTCAGTGTTCATAACCGCGTATGCGATATAATATTGTAGTGAATAAGAAGATGAGTGGGGACAATCGAATATATTTGAGCACAAATTACAGACTACCTTACTAAAATATGATAACCATACGGCAAACAGTTAATTTGCAAAATAACGATCAATTGTCTCAATCTTGACTGTTCCTTCTCTGATTTCATTTTTCATGCATTTTTATACCAAATGCGCTTCGTTCCTCTCCTTTCCTTATCTATCTATTGTCAAAATATATTCTATACCTGACCATCACCATATACTACTTATGTGGATATAAGTAACCCACACCACAATATGACTCAAAATATCTTGCAACGTTTATAGTTAATGCAAAATTATGCAAACAGGGAGGCTACTCTGTCTGTTACTGTTGCCTAGATTTGTAGATTATATTCAGTTTTTTCCTTTGAGTATTTCAGTTAGGATACCGGATAGGTCTGTGACAGAAAATTGTCACAAAAATTAAGGAAACACATATGAGTGATATAAGTATGAAGCAAAGTGTAGTTCTGATTAGTATGAATAGTAGTAGAAGTAGTACCTTCCATAGAAATTATTTAAAAAGTGGTCGGCTACCATTCAGTTAGAAAATAAAAGAAGTTCATCATTTCAGTATTTACCAAGAAGCTAGTAAGATAAACAACTGATCAGTTTCTGTGAGTAACGAACCAACAGTTAGTTCATATTCAAGGCTATACATCGCATTTATTTCACGGGAAAAAACATTTGTTTAACAATTATTGTTTAAGAATGATGTAATTTGATCATAAAGCCATGACTAATTAACAAGAGTGTCTTGAATGAAGAAGACAACAACTCACTCGATCAGCTCGTAATTCTGACTGTTCAGGTAGAAACTATAGAGGAAAAGAACGAAATAGATATGGCAATGTGAAAGAAAATCCATCAGGATACAAGGTGATAATAACTGATTTTAACATTATTTAGCTACGTGTTACAATGGTTCAACTAATTTTTGAAAAAAATACACAAAGTTATTGCAGTTTAGTTTAATATGGGTTTTACAACTTAGAACACAAATCTAGTGAACAAAGTGAAATCATTTGAATAATCTGACGAATATCTGATGATCAGCGTATGTCTTGCAATTAGCATATATATGTTAACGCTCCATTTCCATTTTACTGTAACAATTAACCCGATAGCAGAATGTGAAATAGTTGATTTTTACTAAGTATACAACTGTAACTCTGTTATCTATCGAAAGTAAGCAACATGAGAAAACTATATAAACCTAATTCCTTCAAAATAATAATATTTTGTGACGAATTTAGGTAAGGGTACTGATTAAAGTAGATTAGCTTATGAATTTTCACTGACAGTCGATAGGGATATCATAAGACATAATGGAGAAATTGTTATCATTGAAACACATTCACAAATCTTATTACTATAATAAAACTTGAACAACTTTTTATTCTATATTTGTTGAATTATACTGACTGTTTATTCCACTTTTTTCAGATTTTTCTCATCATACAAGATAACAGCAAGTCATACAGCGATTTTGATTCAGAAGATTGTACATTTAATTACTTTAAGGAAATATTAAGCCCGTAACCATCGAAATAACAATGCATAAATATGTGAGAGTCTAAAATGTTGTGGAATACATATGGCATTCACTACCTGAAATTACAATCATTTACAGAGCTATTAATTACTTTTTAGGTTGATGGTACTTTATGTAAAGCAGGTCTCTAATCAATGAATCAATATTTGGAAGCCGAATCCTTTGATAACTGAGCCAGAACATTTTCAGTGAAGATGTAATCACCTTTTCAGATCATTCCACATAACGAATGCCTTATCTGCCTCTTCCTTGATTTGTGATGTGTGGGCGAGAATGTAAATGATTGGTTGTCTCGATGAGTCAGACATTAGAGGAGATGACAGGTGTTATGTGTTATATATATATACATATATATTCCCCTATCCTTATTATGTATTGGCTGTTCCTTGATGTTGGATACTTATTGATTGACTGTTCTTTGTGACGGATTTTGGTGTGAAATATATTGACGTTATAGTCAGGCTAATCTCGTGTTCTTGATCTGAGTTCTGTTGAAGTCCTGTAGAATAGACACTGGGTGGGAATCTAGTGTAGATATTCGTCTAAGATAAATTAACGTCCCACATACGTGTAAGGAGTAAAAGGACTGTTATAACAAGAACCCCTACTGTTATAACCAGCATCCTCTCTCTCAGCTCCCTTTACGTTTATAACATTTAGCGACGGCATACATACGTTTATAACAATTTGTTTTAACAATTATATTTAATTTTAAAAAACACAGTAAAAACTTACTGGACGCTGAAATATTACAGGCATATACACAGATGGATGGCTTCGTGAAAACTCAAATTTTACACTGAGAAATAAACGTCCGCTAGCTCGTTTTGCTTCATCAACTGCATGTTCCACATCTGGCATACAATGTCGATCTAATGGTGTTTCTAACAATTCATTACGAAGGTGTTTACGACTCGTCTAATAGAATAGTATGTGTAAAGAAAACCATTAGAAAAGTACATAAACACTTACAAGGAAGAGATTCATTAGGATTGAAGAAATCATTTTCTTCAAACTTCTGTAAAAACTTCCAATAAGAACATTTTTTAAGTCAATATAATTTGCGCCATTTTACCCTAGTAAACACCAATGAAAAGTGATTGTCTGATTACATATATCTGAATAATTTTCTGTGTAGCAGTAATCGTAATTCATGCAATGAAATAAGTGATGTTATCGAATGCATTAGAAGCAAAGCCATTGATGATAGTGAAGCAGATTTAGCTACCGTTTGAAGAGGTATCTCCGTGGTTAAAGTGTCTAACATTCAAACACTAAGTCTCAAGTCCTAACCATGCTCCAATTACTTCTCTTTGGCAACTATGTAGTATCACTAGCTTTTACAGAGTGAGTCAAAGCTGAATAAACTGATCTGTACCTGATAAACAATTTAAATATATCGGTGATTGGTTTTCCCATTTGATTATTCGTACAACCTTACATGTCCCTTTCGTTTACAGTGCTTTTACAATCCTTCTTCGAACTTACATCTTCTAAAACTTAAGTCACGGATAAATAAGATGCAAATTAATAACGACATATGTGTCTGTGTATCCAAGGTTGTTAACTGGGACCATCGGAAGCAGACTGATGAAACTATCCAAGTTCCTAAGCCTCAGTAAGCCAAGGATTCAAATCACTGATTGGAAACCGATCATCTGTAGGGAAGGACTATAGTATAATAAATATATAACTCTACGACTAACAACCAGGGTCTTAGAGTTTGTAGGAATAAGTATACTCCCTCCTCAGCGTCCCATTCTAGACATACGTTATGAATAAAATTCTAAAGTCAATTAAATACTCACCAAATCGATTAAGAAAAATTCAACAAAAATGGTCAAAACTTTGGAATACAAATGAAATGATTTTCTTTCTGAAATGTCCTCATCAAAATCAAATTAGGCTAAAGAGCAACGAAAACTTTAGAAACCAAAAGGTTCTTGTATACTAGCAGAAATTGTTTATACATAGAGTACTAACTAGATTTACTATTCCACCTGAGGTTTAGATAACTCAATATTTACCACTAAGCCATAGGTTCGAACTCAAACTTTTTCATTCATCATTCACCACGTACATGTTTGTGTACATGGTTCTGAGCTACACTTGATGTGTGAGAGTTAGCGATATTATCATACTTTTTAAACCAAAGAAGCAAGGCTGGGATTTGAAACCGTGATTTATTAGTCGAAAGCCGAGTGTTTTCACGATTGTCACCGTTCTCCGGACTCTGTTCAATCTATTTCAAACCAAGAAGTCAGGTAACACTATCAAATCCCATCGCATCCAATAAAATAGGATAAGAAAGTACTTATATATTTTGTTTCTATTGTCATAGTAAAAGATGAGAAAACTCAATAAAAATGTCACTTTTATCACAAACCTTAAGGATTTGATTCATGGTATCCATATTCGAAGGTTTCGAGTCAAAAGTAGGTTCCCTTACTAATTTTTCAACATCCTCTAGTCGATAAACACCTAACGGTTCCAAAGGATGTAGTTCAAGTTCGTAAATTCCTTGTCGAAATACTCTGAAAATTATTTAAATATTATATATATATTCATTTGTTTCTGTGAACAGTTTTCCAAGTAAACGACATAAAGTATAGCTATACAACAGCACTTATGATTCTTAAGTCAGATATCTAATTTAGACAAATCTACTACAATACTGGTAGGCTATGAGGCATACTTGCTGGATATCATAACTGGATAGTGGAACGGTGGACTGGTTAAGGTAAAACAACTACATCTTGCTTCTATAATTTCAGTTTAGGCAGCTGGGTACTATTGGTGATCTTCATACAAAGTGCGTCTTGAAGTCACATACACAAGTATACAATTGATAACTAAGTTACATCAAATTAGTCAACTAATTAACAATCAAATCAAATTAGTGCGATTAAAATATCTCACTTGTGAAATGAGATATGAATGTCTAAAAAATTAAAACATACTTAAACATAACCGATTGCATGGATATATAAGGAACAATTTCTGATGTAGAAATCGCTGTAATAGTTGAAGTGTTGGTAGACCACAAAGTAAGTGTTCTTATTATAGGTCAGGAGAGAAGTATAATTATTTGAACTGTTAAGGATAATGACAATCGAAGCGATACAAACATCTAACTTGATAGTGAGGGATATCCTGTCTAAGGAGAAAAGCTGTTCAATTAAGAAAAATACAACCAGAAAAAATTCTTAGTTAAAAAAGCTACGTTCACTTTTATGAACAAAGCAAGAGAAAATTACAGCAGGATATCCACTAGCTTCTATTCTGAGACATGCCTCATAATGTCTCAGGCCGCTGTGTTGCGCCATCTTCAGGAACCCAACTAGGGAGTCGTGAAAGATCAACAAAAGTCAGTCCAGCTTTTTTTCATACCGCGATACCATGTCATACACTGACCACCACTCCTCTTTTTCCAACCAGTCCCGACATCGGAAAATATTTCACAATGTGGAGTTTTCTGGGACAACATTCGTAAGACATGTCCAACCCACCGAAGCCAGTGTCACAAGTCGATGTTTCAATATACTGTCACCAGATGAATTATCGACGCTGTGCCTGGACACAAGATGCCAAACTTCTACATTGCTAGCATGATGTTGCAACCAGATATCAATAATCCTTCGGATACAGTGATTATCAAACACAGATGGTCATCTAACATCCTCAAATTAAAGAGGTCAGGTCTCACAGGCATAGAGAAAACCTCCTCTCACCTACGCGTTGTAAATCCGAACTTTCACAGCCAGACTAACATCACGAAAGCACCAATGATGGCCAAGATGGGCATAAGCTGCCCTGGCTTCCACCATTCGTGAATTGATTTCATCACTCACTCAACCACCAACACTTACACAACTACCCAGATACACGAACTCGACTACTTCTATCCACTCACTACTCAGAGTGAATGCAGGATCAGAGTCCTATCAGTCATGTAAAAGCGCTCTGTACTTCGAAGAGGCAAAGCATATACCATACCTACGAACACTAATTGCCAACTGATTAAGTGCGGATTGCATGGCTTGGGTATCATCGCATAGTAGCATAGCCAACCCTATCTGTTATCTGATCTTCATTGGTGTGCGTATGTTGACTTATACTCATATTGGTAGTCTATAATCCATACGTTATTCACTTTATATAAAGACTAAGTCACTCGTTACTCATTGAGCAGCTTTTTTAAAGTTACTCGTGCCTGTACCCAATCGGTTTTCGTACTCACTTGTTCATTTTGCCTGCTCATACAAAATTCTAAAATATAGATATCTTAAATGCGATTCGTATTAGACTTTTCATTTTTACGTCATCTTAACGCGAATGATCAGCACATTTACGAAGTCAAATAGGTTATACATTTCACTAGCATCTTCGTTCACTCATACCACAGTCAGACACGGGGACAAAATAGTATGGTTTGCTGACTTACACATTTTAGTCCACATAATACGGTAATGTAGATAAATGATAGTTGCTATTAACTTACTTTTTAGAATTATATAATTTCATGTTCGCACCAGCTATTAACTGTTCATGCATACCTTTTTTATCCGTATACGTAGATGACAGGACAAAACAAATTCCATTATAGTCATACAAGGCATTATATGGTAAGGGTAAATCAAAGGCTTCATTAAATCTAGAAAACAAATCTACACTTGTATCATTTATCGTACAATTGTCTGTCAAGATTAACTTGTGTTTGAGACCAATTTGTAATAAATGAATTTGATAGGAAAGGGATATCACGTGTGATACAATAATTAATTCGTAATTCACCATAACATGCGAGTGGTGTATATTCACCCTTGATGACTTTATACCGTTCAGCATCGAATCCAGTGATGTTCATTCTATAAATCGTTTGATTAATGACAGAAAGGTTAGTTTACATCTTAATACATGGATAAATGAGAGTTGATTGTCGATCGTCTGTAGAAGCTGACCCAGATGTTGCCGTCGCCACATCACATGAAGGATAATAACCCAATGACAGTGATCCCATAAGATGTGAGACACTAAAAATCTGAAATTATAGTTAATAATCATAAGTATGCACAAAAAAATAAAGTAATCTGTTTATAAAAGTGAGTAACAATTGGTTGTCTAGATTTTCTAATAAATTATATTTGGATAGTATTATAAATCAATGTGTTACACTGGAAATGATAACCGAGCTCCATAAGATGTGTATTGATAAACCTTTATAGAATCTTTAAGTTTTCATAGTCCAACTTATTGAATTAGTAATTGATCACAAAAAAAAACTAGAAGTTACGGAAGTTTTATGTTCCAAGAAGTGTTAATAAGTCTTACTGTCGTTTTCATAATATTATTTATTTATTTAAACACATAAATATTGGTACAAAGGGGAACCAGATATATATGCGCCGCACAAATCTCGTTTGATTTGTGTGAGGGCTGTGATACTGTCAAGGTGCCCAAACTGAAGCAGGTGGTTTTCTTAGGGGACCACACCCCGTTTTCATAATACCACTTTGATGAAACAATACATGCAACCAAAATCGAAGTATGAAACCATCGTGAGCGCGACAAACAAAACCCTGAATCTTCCAAACAAAGTCTTTAAGAGAAAGGGGAGTGAAAGAATCCTATTATTTAATGAGACCATGAAGAGTCTGCTAACGTCCAAGACTTATTGTAAAATTATGGTCACATTTTCTGAAGGATTTGGTTGCTACTAAAACACGGAATATAAGGCGAAAACCCATGCTTATGGAGTGAAGCAAGTATGTAGAAACAGGTTAAGTAATTAGCAAATAAGATGATAAAAGGGGTTTTCTGCCTTTTTCCTCAGAACGCCGATACCTGTTTTATTTTGCCATTAGTTCAGAAATGAACTCATATAAACATTGAAAATTTTTTATCACCATTTATAAATGGATACCTTATGTTTCTATTCATCAAGAATATACAATCTATGAGGACACATTTAAAACATAAACTACTGGATACGCCTCAATGGTTTAAAGCTTAAACGCTCGCCGCGAGCCAAGACGGTGCTGAGTTCGATCCCAGTTAGGATGGAGGATGCGAACTGCTGAGAAGTCCCGTGCTAGATGAAACAGTTGTCAAATGCCTCCCTAATTTTCAGTGATGCAAACTGGGAAGGATGAAATTTCTAAAGCTCATGAATTTGCTCAGGTTGTGGGAAAGTAAGTCACTGAGAATCTATGGAGTAACAAGTGCGACTTCAAATGAAAGCAGCGACAAGTTTCACGCACAGTGTTAATTCAGTTTTAGTCGCAGTTCTCGAACCAAAACCTACACAGTATACTTTAACCGTAAACTTCTTAGCCGAAGTTTATTCACTTTTCTTGCATAAGGGTTACCATTTTGAGTTTTATAACATTTTAAGGTTTAGTTTTCCCATCAGTCAGCTACAACATAGGACCAGGCACATATATGCATCAGTTCAAGTTTCCACAACTCATTACCACAACGAGATGAACATCGAATTCATAGAAGTAGTTACATGATTGGTAGTAATGTATGGAAAAAGATTGCATATAAAGATATGACACAGAGAGAAAACGTTAATACATAGAAAGAAAGGTATGAAGTAATTTTAATCTCATAGTTTAGGGGAAGACAAAGAGTATATACACCTACACCATTGTGATCGATTCTGAGCCATGTCACACAGTCTTCAACCACTGCTAACGATAGTCACGTGGACCCCAACGAAGTGGTCTGCATCTACCAACATGGCTCAGACTAGAAGTTAGTGACTTCAAGAACTGATGTCACATTTTGGTTTGGCCGCCTCTAACTCTCTTCCAACCATCCCCAATACTAGTCAGCATTGCGCGTCGTGTTAGTCAGCGTTCAGGCATATGTAATACGTGGCCCAACCATCTCAGTTGAAGATGGAGTCAAAATCATCCTATGATAACCAGAGGGATTAGTTTGATTAATATGGTGTCCAAAATACTAGCCTTTATAATTATAGGGCGCCTAAATAGGACTTATGAACTGCAAACACGAGAAAATTAGGCTGGCTTCAGACATGGTCGTGCCTGTATCAATCACATATTAGAGCAACACATGCATGAGAACGATTGTTTTCAATTAGATCGTCATCAGGCTTTATTCAAATACGCATGAATATTTTTAAGAAAATGGTAAACGAATCACGGCAATTTGAGTCAATAATCACAATAAAATAGAATACGTCACCGAACATAATAATTAAAAGTACAAGTTGATACTGGGAAGAAATGGGTCCAACAAATGAACTCGAATTACGTAATTGTACAATTGATTTCATCCCCATGTGAGTCAGTCAGTTAGTCAGTTACAACGTAGAACTTCGTACGTACGTACATCAGTTCGAGTTGCCATACCACATTAGCACAGAGATGAAGTTGTCGATTCAAATCCCATAGTGGTAGAAGTAAGAGTATAAGTATTGTGTGAAAGATAAGGGTTTGAAGATGTTATTGAAGGAGTATAATACAGTGAAATAAATTTGAAAAGAGAAAAAGGGTACGGACATGAGGAATCCAGAGGATTAGAATTTGGTAGAACACAAAGAGTGGATGCACCTTCGCCATTACAAACGATTTTGAGCCATGTCATTCAAGGTCTCTAACCATCGGTTGCTATCATCTCGCGAATCACAACCAGGTAGTCTACACCTACCAACATGGCTCAGTCCACTTGTCTCCATGGATTTATGCCACGTTTTGGTCTGGCCGCCCCTAGCTTTCTTCCAACCTACTCCTACACCATAAAGCATTGCACGTCGGGGCAGTCGGTGGTTGGGCATACGTAACACATGTCCCAGCCATCTCAACTGGTGAAGTTTCACTACTTCATCAGTCGATTTGCCATCATTACCTACTACCCGTTTCTAACAACTGGTCCCAGGATATACGAGCAATGCTTCGAAGACACCTATGATCGAACACTAGTAGCCTGCGAATATCCTCTACTCTTATCGGCCATGTTTCACTGCCATAAAGTAGGACGGAGCGAACTGCTGCACAGTAAACCCGTCCTTTGGTTGCTAGACGGATATCTCGCCTACGCCATAAATGACGCAAGTTGGCAAAAGCTAGACGAGCCTTCTGTATCCGTGCTGAGATTTCGTCACATACCAGACCACAAGGGCTGATGAGACTCCCAAGATAAGTGAAGTGGTCTACACGCTCAACTACTTCACTCCCTATCATTAGTTCAGGTGTCGATGCAACCCAATCCTGAAGTAACATTTTGCACTTCGAGGAAGAGAATCGCATTCCGAACATGCCTGCATAGTTGCTTATAGTGGTCAGAAGACTCTGCATGTTGTCAGCGTCTTCACCGAATAAAACTATGTCGTCGGCGTATTCTAAGTCAACAAGTGAGCCTCCCGGTAAAAGTTCAACTCCAGGAGACTGAGATGATGAAAGTGATACCTCTAAAAGCATGTCAACGACAAAGTTAAACAAGAATGGGGAGAGTGAACAGCCCTGACGAACACCACTTGAGGTAAAAAATTCTGATGACAGTTCGCCATAGGCTCTAACTCGACCAGTTGTGTTCGAGTAGAGAGCCTTTATGAGGTTAGTGTACTTCTTTGGTACTCCTTTCAGTGACAAACACTGCCATAGAACCTCACGATCAACGGAGTCAAATGCCGCCTTAAGGTCAAGAAATACTACTATTAAGTGCAAAATGTTACTTCAGGATTGAGTTGCATCGACACCTGAACTAATGATAGGGAGTGAAGTAGTTGAGCGTGTGAAATGATGTGTCAGTCTACTTACTAAGAAAATACTGAATAAACCCTAACACTTGATTTATTGTCTGTCCTCATTTAAGAAGTATCACAATGAGAACCGAAAGATAGCTTGCAAATATGAATATAATGCAACAATTTGGCTGGAAACTAGCACTAATGTTAAGGATTCTTCCTTAGACCCAGTTTCCTTTTAAAAATAAAATGCAAAATAAAACCAATTACCTAGAGACTGAAACACTAACATCAGCGACCGTTTCTTAGGGACTCAAATTCATTATTTACCAAGATACTCTTGTGGACAATAAGTGTCAAATTCCATATACCCATTATAATAGGACAAATAGAAAATTCCGGAAGTCTAAAGATGACTATTTCTCCAAAGGTAACATTTAATTCAATCCAGAAGCAAGAGTAACTGTAAGACCTCGTGCATCCAGGATCGGGTAGAATAAACTCCACTCGCATTCGCAATTTTGACATTGCATTTAGAAAACAACCGAAATAAGCCAGGGATTATTATTTACACTACTGAAATCCGGTACGGAAGTATGAAGTGTAGAGCACTCAGTCATGATAGAAGAAAATTATAACACAGCAAACGTTATACGTCTAATTAATTTTATAACAGAAATTACTCCGAAATATCTTTAATTGAGTGGGTATATAAACGAAAACATGACCGTAATTATCGACAATGATACACCTAGATAACTTGACAAGGTGGGTTTCATCCTTAGTCCATAGAATCTATGTCTGAGCTGAGATCAGTTTATTTACAGCACTGAAAAACTGTCTATAAAAACCGAAGCATATGAATACTATTAAAAAAGGCTAAAAGGATCCAATTCTAACGGGTTTCCGCATCCCGAAAGATAGGAGCCAAACGACCCTCTAACCATCGTCGGTGCAGCAAATACGTTCCGGACAGAGCCTTATGAAACTAAGTGTTTCGGCTTGTTGAAAGAAATTAAGAGCTTGGTAGCATAAAAAAACCAATTTTGATGATATTTGATTGTATAAACCTAGTTTACATTCTAAATAAATGACAGTGAAGTCCAGCTACATGGTTTCTGACTCTGTGTGTCAAACAGATTAAGTTCTACAATGATGACGCAATCATCTACATAGAAAATACTATATCCACAAAAATAAGACAATATTGCACAAATCCAAAACGAGTAAAATAATACAATACAAGTCACAATGAGAAGGGGAGAACTCCAAGTTAGTGGTAGAACATCGGAAGCCTGGGTGTAAAGCCAATTTAAGTCTAAGCAAAGTGGCCAAAAGAACTCAGTAGTAGCCATGATTAATTTGGTTATTAAAACCTCATTGAGTCGTTGACCATGAGCTAAATTCGGCAAATTACCGTGTTAAATTAGTCTCTAGACTAAGAATTATCTTCACACGACATAACATCGTATACATTCGTGTGATACATGAATATTTTAAATCGCTCTTCGGACGTCAACATAGGAGAAAATATGTCGTATTTTACCTTTAACTCCCAGAAGCAAGAATTCACAAGACAACTCAACATCTTACAATGCCATATAAGTAAATTTCATTTAATCACATTTGTAGCTGGGTGTGCGAATCGTTAACGACGGTTGATAAGCACACAAAATGCATTGCTTTGTTACAAGAAGACAGGTTAAATGAGAATAATTCACCACAGAAGACGAATTGTTAACCTGGAAAGATCATATTCAGTATTAAGAAACGCACGCACTTGGAAAACCCGCCCCGTCTTCAGTATGCAAAAGGTAAGTTAATTGACTTGTATTTCAGTCTTGACGTTCCAGTCTCCTTTGAATTTGTTTCTGATGAGGCTTATAACATTTGTTAGGATAGGACGTTACTGTTGCTGATCACTGGGTGAGAAAGACATAATATCACCTCAAATCTATTTGTTCGTGGTTTTCGAACCTTCTTACTATAGCCTCGACAATTATTGGTTTTGGTTTCAAGGGAAATTTCTCATCCACTTTTGAGTGTCTGCTTATATTTCAAGGCTTGAAAGTTTTTGAATAAGCTCCAAGTTACCCGCTTTATAAAATTGCTTGCTAGAAGCTACGAATTCATCTAAAGACAAATAGGTATTTTGAGCTGGTATCCAATAGTGAGTACAATCAATCAAGATCCCTCAACCCATCGGCTTCAACGTTTATAAGTAACTGAAAAACAGTTTCTCTTATCATATGAATTAGTTTCATAGCCGGAATCTGTGTTAACTAGTATCTGACTCCACTTAGGTCGTTCAAACATGCTATTGTAGTGACCGGCCAGTCTCGATAAGAACACGATTGGAATAACGGAAACAATTATTATTATTGTAACCAATTGTACCAGAGATTGTTTTACTGTATTTGTTTAACTGTATCCGTTTCACTTCTGCTTTCGCTCTCCGCCTTGTTTGGTTCGAACTTGCTCACGCACTGCCTGTTCGCCTGTACTCTTTGGCACGTCTCGGTATTATTTCGATACCACGAGATCGCCGATAAATACAATTGATCTGGATTAATAAAGTCTTCTGATTTACGAGCTATCAAAGGAACCAAGTCGTTTTTGGGCGCGTAAACGAATTGTAGTGGTGATCTTAGTCCGTCTTCGACTCGACATCCACAACACTATGAACAGAGATCTTCCATTTAAAATTCCACACATTACCTAGGCCAAGTCAGTTTTTGTGATGATGGTAATCAGATGCCAAACATGGGTTGAGAGTAATAAATTTATTTCAAGATTCGGAATCTAAAGTGAGAGAGGAGAAGGCAAGTGAGTCAGCTGTGGTATTTGTACGAAATAATGATTCCTTTGTACTTGATTACCTGCTGATTTGGAAATCCAAATACAATACATTCGTTTGTCCTCATTTAGTTCTATCTGGCTTAACTTGTGCTATTTAGGGAATTCCTAGTTAGTAGATTAATCCGAATACTTCTAATTACTTTGCCAACTCCACCTCATTGTGACTATATATATATATATATATATATATATATATATAAAGAGAGAGAGAAAAAAATAAGCTACAGACACGGGATGAGAACGATAATCCATGCACACATACGCTAATATAAAAGCATTCAAGGTCAGTAAGCGACTAATTCAGTTTCAGTTTCGAAAGGACAGGAGGCTTGGTGGCCTGTGTTAGTCCTGGCAATGACGATCTCTCAGCTGATCCAACTTTCTTTTAAAGGAGTCGACGGATGGAGCCTCAACCAAGTGCTGAGGTAATGAATTCCACTCGTTGATCATTCGATGGGAAAGTCGGTAGTCAGCTGACAAGTAATTCGTTATGGGCTTGCGAACTTTTTTTGGAGTGTCCTCGTAGATTTTCTGTTTTGGAAGACAAGAAAAATGAGGGCATATCAGGTGCAAATTTGTCATTTAGCAATTTGAAAACTATAATCTAGTCACCTCTGATTCTTCTATATGACAGCGGAAATAGGTTTAGCTTGGTCAGTCTAGTACCATACGGGAGCTTCGCTATTCCGGGAATCAGCCTAGTTGCTGTTCTCTGAACTCTTTCCAAGAGTTCACTGTCTTTTTTTAGGCAGGGGTTAGCTGCTTGTATGCAGTACTTAAGTTTAGGGCGTACGAACACTGTATACAAAGTCAGAAACGTTTTAGCGTCGAGATGTTTAAAAGCACTGCGTATGGACCATAGAGTTCTAAAACCTTTGGCGGCTATCGCACGACAGTGTGCAGTAGTCTTTAAGTCTTGACTAACTATGACGCCTAAGTCATTGTGTGCCTGAACAATAGGTAACTCAGTGTTATTCATCGTGTATGTATCTGTGCCCTGGTGGACAATATGCATCACAATACACTTGGAACGTGGTGAAAATCCAACTCAAGGAGAATGAACAAATTGGTCTATCTGGAAGCCAAAATAACCCATATGGGCTTGGTATGGTACTAGATACTTTATCTGAATAGTGTTATCATGGTAATTGTTCATTATAATACTTTTGGCGTAGACCAATCTAAAATAATTTGATATACCCTCAGCTTTAGTTGCAATTGATTCAGTGAGTGTCTGAATTCGCATGCAAAATCAATGCAGGGATTCTACCAGTGCATCCTTTCTTTCTCTTAATATACGTAAACATTCGTCCTAGGCAGATGCATATATTGTATTCCAATCCCCTTTTAGAAAGTCGTGTAGCATCTAGCAATAGTATATATATATATATATACTCCTGACATTTTGGTATTCAGATCTAGGTATTTCATGACTTGCCGATAAGAACAAGTCTGAGAAGTGCTTCCCTGTTTCTGCAGGTTTCGGGATTCCTTATCGGACCATAGGGTTCTATTCTATGGCTTATGTGTTGACCATAGGATCAACGGCAGTGTTACAACTACGGATGTGGCTTTAAAATAGGTCATTCTTTTTCAAGCAACTTACACACATTGACCAACCGACTTCTTGACCGATTGACAGAATGTTAGCACTCCATATATTGGAAAGTAACAGAGCAGATACATGTTGCACATTGTGTCCGAAACCTGGAATCAAATACAACGTAGTCACTGTTCACAAATGGTCATAGGTACTGAACGTTCGTGATATCGTCACGATGGTGTAAGAAAACAGGATCTCAAAGTGATTGTCCTTTTTTCTTAGTCAGTATGCGTTAGTTTCGGTAAAAGCTCTGCAAGTGTACACTGAGTAAAAATGAACGAGGCAGAAACAAGCCTCACATAATTATGCTTAGATCGAAATTTTGATTTTTAGGACTACAAACGTTGATGTAACTCAGAGGTGTCGGAAGTGTGAATAATTTTCAAGATGAACCATTTCTGATGCTAAACAAGCAGGCAACAATGACATCAATTTTTTCCATGTCCACCGTAGCTGCAAGCCTCACCATTTTATTTCGTATGCTGCAAGTATTTACATAAAAATCCCTCAGTGAGTTACCTACCTTCAGAATAAGACTTAACTGTAAACATTCTGTTACAGTTTGGCTGGAAAGATTGCTAAAATCTCTGTAGATAGATGTCTGATCCCATCTTGTTGTAAAAGTATTTTTATTGGTTGTCAGGTATTGAACTCTTCTGTATTGACTATTTCTTTTGTTGTTTACTACACTAATTTTTGTTAGAGAAACCCTTGATTGAACAACACAGGTTGTACTTTTTGAGCTATTTTGTACTTTTGGTATAATTTGTTCTCCTTAATTTAGAACTGTTCAAATTGAACACAGAATTTGTGTCTTGACATAATTTAATACGAATAGCTTTAAAACGCTATATGCGCTATATAAAAGGACGTAGTCTGGTCTGGTCGAATAAATATTGTTTCTTTAGTTTTCTGTTCAAACCGAATATTGGCATTTTGGTCGTAACACATTCTGACCTCAACTCTTATCCTTTTCTGTTTATTATATGTATGCTTACTCCTGTTAATATTTCCGGATGCAACTTTTCTAACGTAAGATTTCTGAATATTCTTCTTTTATTTCCAGACGACATGCTTACCATTCATTATACAAACCATTTTTTTGTGATTATATTATTTATTTATATGGTTTTTACTGTTTACATTAATTTTGTGTCACTTAGCACTTATATTAAGCTGCTGCCATGTCAACTCCCTGGATATGATTAGTCACGATTAGGTTGATTGATTTGATCCAAAAATTAAGTATAAAATAACTCTTTTCCTGACAGAAACTCTCTGCTGTCTTTGACAACTAACCAGTATAGCATCCGTTTGATCTGTTTCTTTTGGTTGTAATAATTTTTAATGTACAAAACAGTGTCCTATGCTTGGAAGGAAACTGATACACGTTGTCCGATAGTCTACAGTATAGATCAAACTGTATATCTGCAGCCCTAAAATCGTTCAGTGATTTGTGTAAATTGTATATATTATGTTCATTCATGATAATTAGAATAAGTCGAGTCGATATGTTAATAATTCACTGAATAGTAAATCTTAAAGCAGATAGAAGTTGGTGAGCACAATTGGACGTACTGTATTTGGGGTTCGTAATAAAACCATGTACAAAAAAGAATCTTTATTGTTTACAAACATCACAGTATTTCATATGAAGTAGTGTTGCTGTTATGACCAAATTCTTGCCTTTTGATCTGTTGACAGATCTAGATTAGTAAAGAATTAAGTGTAAAAGATATAAAGAACATATCGTGAGTTTACTCATTTCTGTCCTCACGTAAAGAGGGCATCACTTCTCATAACTGTTCTCCGGTGGTTGATGCTCTCTCCATACTACAAAATCCTTTCAAAGATTCAAACTTGTGGTGGATGAAAACGCATGACAACCAAAAAATAGCAATAAAAATATTGCGTCTAAAGTTTATGTAACAATTAACAGTTAATAAGTTAATTACACACAAATAAAAGTAAAGGGAACGTTACTTAAGCCTTCAGGCTATTGCGCGTTCAGTTCAGTTTGGTCCTGATAATCCACAATTATAGAAGATTAGTAATCCCAATATAGACGATATGGATCCAGTAGATTTACCAAATGCAGAATTCAACAAGAATGTCAAAATTGTCTATAAGTATAGATGATATGCAATGAATATTTCACCTAACATATTTGCAGACATAGCAGAACGATGCAGATGTGAGTCAGAGTGTATTTATTGAGGAGCAGTAACAATATCGCGGTATGTAGTACTCAAAACGGAAGGAAGTCAAATTACAAGTGTTCAAAGTAATACACTTAAACAACAAGTACAATTGTTTAATGCTAAATGTACAGAA